ACACGTGTGGAAGGATGACGCGGTCGATGGTAGTGGGGTAGCATTTCGAACGGGGCTGAAATCCTACCAAATTAATCATATGATTGAGTGGTACTGTGATTAATATTATTAACGCATTCTTTCTTGGTAGGACTAGTGGCATTCAAAGGGTACGAGGGAGGAGCTTCACAAGGGAATGCGTTAAATATACAAGAAAACGAGAAGGCCAGGAAGGGGAAAGGTTGTGTGCGTTAAAATAATTGTTATCGGGTGAGGGAATACGAGGCCCCGGGAAAATATGTGGCATTACTATGACGCTACCAACTTCCAGAAAAATAAAAATTTCGAGCAAGGGGTTAGGGATTATAAGTAATAATTGCATTGAGCATACGAGGGGACCAGTATGGTACTATTTGACATGACATTGTCACGATCGACACAAATAAATGAAAGTGCATTGTCATTTATTGATGGAGAAAGTGGAGTAGTAAAAATAGATTTGGTGGTGGTGKRGGGGGGGGGGGGGGGGGGKGCTCACATTTGACGATATGGGCCAACAGAAAGGCATTTGCAACAGTAAATTACTGAACCAATGATATGAACTGTTATCTCAATAATGCCTATGACACAATCTCAAAGTTGGTCACAATAAGGCGACGAAACACTATGATAATCGCGTCAGTTGCATAAAAAGCGGAGGGAAAAAATCTCCTCTGCCATTGTTGTACAAACTTGGTTATGCTCTGAACGAGTGAAAGCTTACCTCTTCGATAAAGCTTCCCTTACTCAATTCTTTGCGTCGTAAAGGTAGCTTTAGCTGTAGAAGAGTCGAGAGCAGTCATGATGCACTTCGTCCCAACAAGGAAAGTAAGAAAGAAATAACAATTCACGGGTGTCGAAGCATAAACTGAAAGACAGGGCAACTGTGGCATACTGCGCAGCCACACGGGCCTGCAGGGCCTGTCCCGTAGTCTCATCCTAAGAGCCTAGAAACGAGGGCTTACAGGCACCGTGTCGTTTCAACCTTAAAGACTGAAAAACGAGGGCCTGCAGGCCCTATGTCGTTTCAGCCTAAAACAGGGCCTTTCAGGCCCTGAGTCTTTTCAGCCTGAAAAGGAGGGCCACTTTCGGGCCCTCATAAGATCGACCTGCCCTAACACTCAGGCACCAAACCAGGGTTTCGAGAACAGGCTATTTTTGGCCTGTTCCCACGCCAGCCTCAGCAGGAGCTGCAACAGCAGGCCCTAACTCACCTCGGCATTGGCAAGAGCAACCTCCTAGACTGCCCCGGCCTGCAGCTGCAGGCAGTCAGGAGGCAGGCCGATGTAGTACGTAGGGAGTTCCCATGCACTTCACGGGCAGTCAGAGGCCGAGGCAGTAGTAGTCTTCAAGATTCGACAGCAACACGCTGGAGGAGCGCTGCAGGAGTAGCTTAGCGCTAGCAGTAGTCTCCGACGCTGGGCGCTACTAGAGGTAGAGGAAGTGAGAGAGAGAGATGGCTGGCGGAGGCCAGGGAGACTTACCTGTGGCGCCATAACGCCAACTTCATCTTCAAGGTATCTGCATCAAGGCGCCAACTTCACAGGTTAGTACCAGACAGATAGAGAGAGAGAGTTCTTCTTCTTCCTCTTCTAAGTCCACCATCTCTTTTTCGCCCTCTCACTACCTGACTTCTCAGTATCAACAGACTACGAGAGAGAGAGAGAGAGAGAGAGAGAGAGAGAGAGAGAGAGAGAGAGAGAGAGAGAGAGAGTTGTGACTTGAGACTTAACGACATTGGATCCAAACTCGACATTGGGATTCAGACATTTTGACGAGGGACTATTTGGGCTTGTGCCGAAGACTTGGTGTTGACAACATTCCCATCTTCCCCTCTTCTTCGTCTAACCCCCCTCTTCTTCGTTTGTGTATGGTTGGGGACTGGTGCATTCTTCCTGTGTGAGCGCCAGGCCCCTGCACACCATGGAGTGATGATGATGATGTATGTTCGAGGCTGCATTGCAATATTGATTGTTCGCATTATTGGTATCTAAGTCTTCCGCTACGCTATTTTGTAGTTTGTGAGAGAGGTCGGTTCTTGTTCTGGTCTGCACCGTTACAGTATGCAATAGTTTGGTATCGGAGCGGACCTCTCATTCAGAGGACCCGCTCAATCAAGTAGCCAGCCTGCTTGATCTATTGATTACTCATTAGTAAATCAAGTAGGACTTCGTCAAATCTCTGATTTTTTTTTTTCGCAACAAATATCTGAAAATTTCTGATAATCGCATTTCGTTTTACCTGAAAATTTCTGATATTTAGTATTTCATTTTCATGCAACACATATCTGAAAATTTCTGATAATCGCATTTCGTTTTATCTGAAAATTCCTGATAATAGCATTTCGTACTACCTGAAAATTTTCGATATTAGCATTTCGTTTTCATACAACAAATATCTGAAATTTTCTGAAAGTAGCATTTCGTTTCTTTGATATTCGCATACATAACCAAAAATTTATGTTGTTAGCATTTCGTTTTCTAGGCATACTAGGATAACGATAGAGGTGGTCATATTGAATTTCTCAGAAAACGGATTTATTCTTTACTGAAAATCGAATCTTCATTCTATCTCGCAATTTTTTTTTTAAAACCGAAATCTTGCGAAGCCTACCAACATTTCGTTTTAGGCATATTAGGAGGTTGCCATATTCTCAAAAACTGGATTTAGTTCTTTTCTGAAAATCGCATCTCTACTCTATTTCGCAAAAAAAAATTTCAAGATCGCATTTTTGTGAAAGCCGAAACTTTTGCGGAACCTGGCCTAGATCTCGCTCATAGTACTCTTCTGACATACCTCACTCATAGCAGATCGACAGATGTACAAAAAAAAAAAAGGAGGGGGTGATTCTCTTCTTTTATTTTTTATTTATTTTAGTCTGTTGATTAGGACCGGGAGAAAAGTATAGCTGGGTTGGTTACCTACCTGCGTTTTTCCGCCCACCCACCCCTTTGCATGCATTCCCGGGTTGGTACAGTGTGACGCCAGTAACAGTGCCACGTCAGCAACAGTGCCACGTCAGCAACAGTGCCACATCAGCAGTGCCACGTCAGCAGTGCCATGTCAGCAACAGTGTCACGTCAGCAGTACCACGTCTTCAGTGCCACAGTGCCACGTTAGCAGTGCCCGCCACCATGACGGACTCAGTTCTGGGCATGCCAGGCCAACTGGCCAATGAGTCCATTGCCGAGTACCGACAACGTTTCGAAGCTCAGCTCGCACTGATCGAGGCTGAGGAACAACGTCAGGCGGCAGCCGAGGCTGCCCGCCTACAAGCTGAAGCGGCGGGAACAATTCAAAAACAGCGGCTTCAAGCTAAAGCTGAAGCAGATACCCAGGCACGCCGCAAGGAGGCCCAGGATATGCTACAACGGCATGAAGCCACCAACATCGAAAAGCTAAAATTCTGGCATTTTGAACCATCTGAGCAGCACGACGACGCGACACCGGAAGAGCAGCACAAGGAGTTCTTTGCCAAACTCGTGACCCGGTTGGTTTACACTTGTAACCACCTGTAGTCCAAGCTGGCGAATCTCCGACGGGCGGTGCAGAACCACAAGGGTCTGCACGAGGATGCTACACCGGCACTTGATTCCCGTGTACAGGACTTGGAGCAAGTTGCACCAAGACCAGATGCTAGCGAGTCCAGTAGTGCACCCTCTACCCGCCAATTGGAAGAACGAGTTGACCACGTAGTCGCAATGCTCGGCGACATCAGCACCTTCGCTGCACCAGCAACCATCAGCAAGCAGCTGGACACCTTGAAGACCGAGGTTCMGCAACTGYASCAGCGGCCCAACAAGGATGGCAACRCCAGTGYACAACACTACAAGATGCCGACATTCCAAATCGAGAAGTTCGATGATTATACGCATCAAGACCCGGTCCCCTGGTGGGAGGGCTTTACGACGCAACTTCGGATTCTCTTCGTCCTCGAGCACTCGTACATCGGCGCCCTGTTCCTCAACTCAAAAGGCGGATGTCAGATCTGGCTCAACCACCTGGCAACCATTCACGGCGTCCAGGTCGCAGATCTTAAAGATGAGATCTCTTGGGAAGAGTTAACAAGGCTATGGAAGAAGTGGTTCATCGTGGACGACGCCCCGACGCTCGCCATCAACCGCCTCTTCGCTATGATGCAAGGCAACACATCGACACACGACTAGCTCACAGAATGGCAAAAGATCGCGGCGACGCCCGATCTCAAATTGCCATTTTCGCATATGCGCCGAAAGTTCTACAACCGGTCATGTGCCGCCATGAGCCTTGCACTTGGTGATCGCGAGCAATACACGACCTTCGCCGAAATCATTGACAAGGCAAGGGAGATCATCCAGAACGATAGGGCGGCTCCATACGAGAAGTCGGCATGGCAGTCAACCTATGTGGAGAAAGGAAAATTTTGTCCGCGTCCGCAGCATGTCGCTGCAGTCCACACGGACAACATTGTGGAAGACCCGACAGCCACCCAAGCATCACTTGAGGGAGATCAGGTGGCTGCTGTCCAGTCGCGAAACAACAACAACTCCCGAGGACAAGGGAAGGCGAACACCGCATCGCCGGCCGGAAACGGACAACCAGCACCATGGGTCAAGTTTCATTTGATCGAGGCCGAATACAAGTGGCGCGGCTAGTATGGCTGCTGTTATTGGTGCAACAACACCAAGCACAAGACCTCCCAATGCCCGGATCAAGGCAAGGAGGATGTTCGGCCTCGCATCAACTCGGGAAACTGAGTTGCGCGGGAGGTGAGTCGACTCCACCTCTCACTCCGCCAGATTTGGCCGCCTTGCTAGCGGCCTCCTACACATCTGGGGAGGATGTGGATGTCGCAAGTCCTCGGTTCACTTAAGAGGATTATGTTGTCCACTTGGTTCCACCGTTGGACCAACCACTTCATGTGCAACAATCCACCGCATGCACAGTTTCACTACCATCGACAACCGATTCAGCAACTTCGTCGTTATCTATTGCCGGGGATTCGACGACATGGTCAAGACTTGAAGAGCTCGACCCGTTGACGTTTGCGAAAGTACCAACTCCGTTGATGGACGCCGGAGTAGAGGTTATCGACCTTCACGCCTACATTGCGAAGATCGACCACGAGTTCAAGACACAACGGTACGACGACATCAATGCGCCATTGTTGTACATACGCATTTTGATCGGAGAGGCGACCTGCAACGATTTGACCGATTGCGGAGCTACTCGCAACTACATGAGCCAAAACTTTATGGTACACATTGGCCTTGGGCCACGGGTTCGGAGGAAGTCCAAGCCCACGCAAGTCACGTTGTACGACGGTCACACGCACAAGTCAAACGACCGGTGCATTGATGCCATCCCCGTGTACTTTGCCCCGCATGTAAGCGAGGCCGTGTCCTTCGATATTTTGGACACCAAGTTCGACATGAGCTTGGGCATGTCATGGCTGCGAAGCGAGGATCACCCGGTGAACTTCTACCGCCGCACCGTTCACGTTCGTGATCGGAACGGAGTACTAGTCCCATGCACGGTGCCTCCTCCTCACCCTTCGATCATCTGTCACGTGGTGTCCGCCGCAAACATTCGAGCTTCCATCATCCGGGATGACATTGAGGAGATGCGGGTGTGTTTTCTCCACACCCTCCCGCCCCAAGACATTCCATCGACGGACGCACTACCGGACCCACGCATCACCGAGCTTCTCGACGCCTACGACGATGTGTGCGAAACACCACATGGAGTAGTACCGGATCGACCCATCCGCCACGAGATCATCCTCGAGGACGGGGCCGTACCTCCGCATCGTTGCATCTACCGCATGAGCAAGGAAGAGTTAAGTGTGCTAAGAGCACAACTCGACGATCTTCTCGAGAAAGGCTGGATTCGGCCTAACTCTTCGCCATATGGTGCTCCCGTTCTCTTCGTCCAGAATAAGAACAAGGAGCTGCGGTTGTGCATCGATTATAGTAAGCTCAACGCGCAAACCGTCAAGAACGCCGACCCTCTTCCGCGCATCGACGACCTCCTCGGACGACTGGGCGGTGCCAAGTTCTTCTCCAAGCTTGACCTCAAATCGGGATATCACCAACTCGAGATCCGGCAGCAGGACCGCTACAAGACCGCGTTTAAGACGCGATATGGACATTTCGAATGGCTGGTTATGCCTTTTGGCCTTACGAATGCCCCGGCCACATTCCAAACGGCTATGACAACGGAGTTCCGACACATGCTGGATAGATTCGTACTCATCTACCTCGACGACATCTTGGTGTACAGCCGGAGTTTGGACGAGCATGTGGAGCATCTGCGCACCGTTTTGGAGCGGCTACGACAAGCCAAGTACAAAGCCAACCTTGACAAATGCGAATTCGCGCGGCAAGAGCTGGAGTACTTGGGACATTATGTGACACCGCAAGGCATCCGTTCGCTTGCGGACAAGATCGAGGCCATCCGCGTATGGCCCGAGCCCACCAACACCACGGACGTCCGTTCATTCATGGGGTTGGCAGGCTACTATCAACGCTTCATCACCGGGTGCTCAAGGATTGTCGCACCTATGACGAGATTACAATCGCCAAAGGTGCCATTCGTATTCGATGACGATGCACACCGGTCATTCCAAGCACTCAAGACGGTCATGCTCATGGCACTCGTCCTTAGCATCTACGACCCCACCCTGCCAACGAGAGTGACAACCAACGATTCCAGTTGTGGCATTGGGGCAGTCTTGGAACAACATGACGGCGACGACTGACACCCTGTGGAGTATTTCAGCCACAAAGTGCCTCCCATCAATTCACTTGATGATGCAAGGAAGAAGGAGCTGCTCATGTTCGTGATGACTCTTAAGCGATGACGACACTTCCTCCTTGGGCGTCGTGGGTTCACATGGGTCACGGACAACAACCCATTGATCTACTACAAGACGCAGGATACGGTGAGCAGCACGATCGAACGATGGATGTACTTCATCGACCAATTTGACTTCACACCGAAACATCTCCCCGACCTCTCCAATCGGGGCTATAAGTCTGATCCGGATTTCGCCACGTTGCATGCGCAACTATCTTCGGATCACCCGCCGGCCAGCCACTATCGCATCGTCGATGGGTACTTGCTCCTCCACTCGAGAGGCAAGGACTTATTGTGTGTCCCATGCGACCGTCGTCTTCGGACTTGCCTTCTCGGTGAGTACCATGACTCGCGACTCGCCGACCATTTTGGAGTCAATCGCACTATTGCACGACTTCGGCAACGATTCCGATGGCCTGACCTCATTACCGATGTCACTCGGTATTGCGACTCTTGCGAAGTTTGTCGACGAAGCAAGCCCCACAACCGCAATCCCTACGGCGAGTTTCTTCCTTGCAAGTACTACGCCATGACTCCCGAACTTGCGCGCCTCCTACACACCAGGTGGATTTGCAGCCATGGCGAGTCGGAAGACATCGTCAACGACCTCGACACTCGCTTCATGTCGGCATTTTGGACTTCTCTCATGCAGGAATCCGACACGAAGATGAAACCAAGTTCGGCTCGGCATCCACAAACGGACGGGCAAACGGAGCGGGCACATCAAACCGCTCAAATGATACTTCGTAAGCTCATCCGTCCGGATCAGAAGGATTGGGTTGACCGCCTCCCCGACATTGAGTTCGCCTACAACACTTTATTGCATCTGGCGATCGGCGTAACTCCATTTGAGTTGCACCACGGTGGCCGGAAAGACCGTATTTTTGCTGATCTTCTCCTCCAACGAACAGCTGACATAGACGTTGCTTGCTCCCCCGCTTCCGTTTGAAAGTACAGGGAATTGCTGGCTCAAAAAGGCTCAAGTCCGCATGCAGCAGCAAGCCAACAGGCATCGCGTGACATGTCCCATCCGCGCCGGTGATCTGGTGTGGGTCTCCGCAGAAGAGTTTGCACTCGAATAGGATGTTTCACGCAAACTGCTTTCCAAGTGGTTTGGACCATGGCCCGTAACATCAGCCGCGGGCGATGAGCCCGATGACCCCTCATTTGTGATCAACATTCCCCAGCATCTGACGGTCCATCCAATCTTTCACGCCTCGAAGCTGGCAACATATACACCAGCCAAGAGCGACGACTTCCCGAGCCGAAGATCGCAAGATCCTCCATCTATGGATGGTCATCAGGAGGTTGACCGCGTCATCACGGATCGCAAGTACGACAGCAAGCCTCAACAGTACAAAGTTACATTCAAAGCATGCGATCCCCAGGACACTCGGTGGATTTCAGGAACAGATTTGAAAGCATCCGCACCGCTGATCTACGTTCACGACGAGCGACAAAGGTTAGCTCAGTGGACCTTCACAACCTGCCCCTCCCACCCGGACTGTGGTCCCTCCCTCAGACAGACAGCTTCGCCCTCGCAGGTAAGCTCGGTCTTTCAAGGAAGGGGGGTGTGGCATACTGCGCAGCCACACGGGCCTGTCCCGCAGTCTCAGCCTAAAAGCCTAGAAACAAGGACTTAAAGGCCCCATGTCGTTTCAGCCTGAAAGACCGAAAAACAAAGGCCTGCAGACCCTATGTCGTTTCAGCCTAAAACAGGGCCTTTCAGGCCCTGAGTCTTTTCAGCTTGAAACGGAGGGCCACTTTCGGGACCTCATAAGATCGACCTGCCCTAACACTCTGGCACCAAACCAGGGTTTCGGGAACAGGCTATTTTTGGCCTGTTCCCACGCCAGCCTCAACAGGAGCTGCAGCGGCAGGCCCTGGCTCACCTCGCCATTGGCAAGAGCAGCCTCTTGGACTGCCCTGCCCTGCAGCTGCAGGCAGTTAGGAGGCAGACCGATGTAGTACATACGGAGTTCCCATGCACTTCACGGCAGTCAGAGGCCGAGGCAGTAGTAGCCTTCAGGATTCGGCAGCAGCACTTTGGAGGAGTGCTGCAGGAGTAGCTTAGCTCTAGCAGTAGTCTTCAGCGCTGGGCGCTAGTAGCAGTGGCAGTAGTCTTCAACGCTGGGCGCTAGTAGCAGTAGCAGTAGTCTTCATCGTTGGGCGCTAGTAGAGGTAGAGGAGGTTAGAAAAAGAGATGATTGGCGGAGGCCAGGGAGACTTACCTGTGGCACCATAGCTCCAACTTCATCTTCAAGGTACCTGCATCAAGGTGCCAGCTTCACAGGTTAGTACCGAACAGAGAGAGAGAGAGAGAGAGAGAGTTTTTCTTCTTCCTCTTCTAAGTCCACCACCTCTTCTTCACCCTCTCACTACCTGACTTCTCAGTATCAGCGGACTACGACAGAGAGAGAGAGAGAGAGAGAGAGAGAGAGAGAGAGAG